AGGCCCGCCTCTCCCATCCCAACACAGTCTTCTTCTTTCCTTTCCTCACACAGATAAACGGGCCTTCTTCATCATCTGCACCTCTGAGTTGGGCCCACCCCAGATCTATGAGCTGGTTGCATTGACATCATCAGACAAGAACACGTGAGAATTGATTGAGGGGTCACACATAACTGCCGCCCCCTTGGGACCAGGGTGGTGTGTATGAGGACAGTGGGCAGTGAGGTCTGGGCTGGGCCCCAGAGCCACCACAGAGTGGGGAGATGGGGAGGTAAGAGGGAGGTAGGACAGAGAGAGAGGAACTGTCAGGGAATCACCCATCCTGAGCCTGTGACCAGCCCCCTGCCCCAGGTAAGGAGAATCTGAGTTTCCAGCATCTTCCAGCCATTGCTGCGGCTTCTTCCCCTTCCCCGTCAAGCATTTAAACGTACACATTCTTCTCAGATGTTTGCGTCCAGGACCCTCATGCCACCCCCAATCCCCTGACAGCAGCTAGCGGTGGGTGGCGTGGCATAGTGGAAGGAGACAGGCTGAGTCCGTTTCTTGACCTCAGGCTTCTTATCTGTAAAATGTGGATAATGTTACCTCTTTGAGGGCTATTTTGAGAGAGAGAAACGTAGAAATGCTCAGCACAGAGCCTAACAGAGGGTTGGTGTTTAGGAATTGGTAGTTGCAAATGATATGACCCCAAGGAAGCCACCAGTCAGGACCCGGGAGGTGGGAACCTGCAGGCAGAGAGCCTCAGGGCCAGGGCATGGAGAGGGCTGGAAAACGCAGAGCAGCGAGCTCCATAGGGGTAGGCTGGGGTGCCCTTGTCTTGTTCTCACACCAGCCCTCTGTGTTCCTGCCGAGCAACAGATGGATGGAGCTCTTAGAAGAGGCCGTGCGGAACGCCACCAGGCACCCCGGAGCTGCCCCGCCGCCCAGCCGTCCCCCACCTCTGGGCCCCCAAGAGGCAGCCGACCGGAGCCCGGCGCCCAGCAGGTGCAGTGCTTAGTGCCCCGCCCCCTGGTCCTGCTCCAAGCTGCTTGTTTTCTGCTGCTTGTAAGCCCTTCACCCCCGGGGATGGAGAACACTTCAGGAGAGGGAGCTGGGCGGCTCCGGCAGGGGAGGAGCATCCCCACGTCTCTGCCCCTGTGCCTGTCTGCTCCACCCCGAGCCTTCACCCGCAGGACTGTAGACTGTGCCTGAAGCAGGGCTGGGGACATAGAATCAGGGGCTGGGGATATAGAACCAGCCAGTGCCCCCTTCCCCTCCAGGTTGACAGCCAGACCAGGCAGGTGGTAGAGTCTGCCACCACCCTTCTTGGACCGCACTCCTTTGTTGTCCCCTCTAACTCGGGGGTCAGGGTGGGATGTCATGACAGCTCGGCATCCTGGCCGACAGAGTCAGGGTCCACCGGGTGTGCCTCTCTCACCCTTGGCTGTTTGCTCCCCCAGGGTAGGACTGGATGACACAGAAGTGTTCCAGAGAGGTTGTTCTGAATCAGAGCCCGAGGAGCTGCCTGGAGGTAAGGCCCCTGCACTCTTGCGTGGGGGCCCCATCCAGGCCAGGTTTGGTAGACTGAGGAAGGGAAGTGGTCAGCAGGGGGTGGGGGGGTTGTAGATGTGGAGTGAGGGGAAAAGACAGACCAGAGCAAACTGGGCGGAGCCCCGAACCGAACGCCAGGGCCAAAGGAGCGCGGCTTCGCTAGGAATAGGGAAGAAACCGCATGAGGAAGGTAGCCGGGAGGGCAACAGACTGGGACTGTTGACTAACTCACTTGAAGGAGGATTCCATCCTGACTCTGGGTGACAGGTATTTAGAGAAGGAGGAGGAGGAGGAGGAGGAAAAGTGAGGGGAGCCCGGGGCCCTGCTTCCTTGCCCCAGGGCTGACTAATGAGAACAGAGGGGTTACTGTGGGAGCGAAATCATCAGAGAAGAGGTAGGAGCTCCAGGGGTCTAGTTCCTGGGATGGAAGTAGGGGGACCCAGACAGAATTCTCAGTGAGAGTTTGTGTGTGAAATAACTTAGGGTCTTGGGTTTAGAGAGAAGTCGTGGGCTCCCTGGCTGGGTCCCTGTTATCTTTCCCTCTGCTTAGAATGCTCTTCCCCTGACTTCTCCCACACTGTCCAGTCTGCCACATGTCACCTGTGCAGCGGTACCATCTCTAACCAGCCCTCCTGAGCCTTCATGCCCTGCCCTATTTTCCCACTTCGATAGCACTTACCACCTTCTAACAAACTACATCGTTTACTTGGTTATTTCGTGATTTCTGTGTCCGCCCGCTAGAATTTAAGATCCCAGAGGACAGAGAACTTGGTTTGTTTTGCTCACTGATGTATGCCAAGAGCCTCAACAGTGCCTGCCCATAGTAGGTACTCAGTAAACATTTGTGGAGGGAGTGAATCAGTCACTGTGCCCAGCCCCTTGGCTCCCAAGGGGCCCTCTGTCTTTCCCTGTCTTACACTCCCCTCTCCTCGATAGCAGGCACCGGGCCCCAGCAGAGGGTCAGAGGGACGCACCCAGTAGTGCTGGAGGATCCTGAGCAGGGGGGCACTGGAGAGGAGGCGGCACGGGGGGCCCTTCCTCACCCCTCCTCACCCCTGGACGGAGAGACCACAGGCATCAGGACAAGGGACCCCATCCAGCTGCCCCTCCCCGGCCCTCTGTTCATGGAAGGACTTGCTGAGGCCGCCCTGGAAGACGGTGAGTGCCTCAGGACCCTGCCATCGGCCCCGAATGCCCCGGTAGCGTGGCCAGTCCCTGCTCAGAGGCTCTCCTTGGATGTGCTTGAGAGAGGCACACATCACACACAGGGTCCCACCACCACCCGCTAGCTGGCAGAGCCTCCAGCTGTACCCTGTGACCAAGGCCAGTTCCCAGGTTGGGGTGGTGAGGAAGCAGCGATCATGCCACCCCCTCTGCACCCTCCACCGCTGGTATGGCGTGCGGTCCTGTGCCAGGGAAGCTATCACCCTGTTTCCCCTCCAGTGGAGAACCTGAGGCACCTGATCCTGTGGAGCCTGCTGCCAGGTCACACCGTGGAACCACAGGCCACCGGGGAGCCCGAGGATGACCTGACACCCACCCCTTCTGTCATCAGCGTCACGTCTCACCCCTGGGACCCAGGCTCCCCAGGGCAGGCCCCCACTGGGGATGAAGGGGACACCGCCCAGCTCCCTGGGCTAGAAGGGAGCCAGCCAGAGCTGGAGGACGTGGCTCTCTGCTCTCTGGAACACTTGCCCCCAAGAACCAGAAATTCTGGGATCTGGGAGTTTCCTGAGCTGGATAGGAGTCCAGCTGAAGAGGTTTCAAGCACAGAAGCAGCAGGAAGTTACAAAGTTGTGAGGAAAGGTAAAACAAATGTGGGCATCCACGGGGAGGCAAACACCCAGCTGCTTCCTGCCCCACCTTTACCCCTGGGCCTTGTGAGCAGAGACCCACACTGGGCACAGGAGACATGCTGAGATCAAGCAAAGGCTGTGGAGTCACACAGCCAAGGTTCAGAGCCCTGGCCCTGCCACTTACTGTCTCTGTGACCTTGGACACAATTCTGAATCATCTTTGAACCTCATTCTGTAACATGGGGATATTACCTCCTGCCTGGCACAAATCAAGTATCAATAATGTTCTCATTAGTACTCTCTGATCTTCCAGTCCTGAGGAAGAGATGGAGCTTTTCTCAGGAGCCTCAGATCCGAAAAGACAAGGCAGATGATGTCACTCCAGAGGGCAGTGATGAAGGAACAGGCAGTGTGGAGACACGGGGATGGGAGCTGGGTGCAGAGGTTGCTCACAGAGAAGTAGCTGAAGGACAAGGCCAGGAAGACACTGGGGAGTAAGGGAGTGTGGTTGGGTGAGCGAAGTGGTAGGGAGGACCCCAGGCTGTGGAATATCATGGACAGCTTTGAGACGAGAGAAGCCAGGATTCACTAGGAGGGAGGCAAAGACAGGTTTGTCTGGCCGGAGCAGTGAGTCCAGTGAGGACTAGGGAGGCCCCGGAGGCTGAGAACAATAGACTGAGGAAGAGAGAAGGCTAGTCTGAGTGGCAGGAAAGATGAAGTGAAGCCATGGGTCCTCACGACGGGTGGGATGGGAGCTGAGTTAGTGTGAGAGCAGGGTCTGGTCTTCCCTAGTGTTCAGCTCTGCTTCCTTTTCCAGTAGCATTGTGTGTCCAGCTAGCCAAGGTCTGCCCTCTCCTGGATTTCTGGGAACTGCCCTTCCTTCTCTCTGTCTTGGTGAATTGGTGGAAGAGTTCTCCGTAGCTCCCCGGGTTCTAACCATGTATGACCTTGTGTTCACTTTGTTCTTCCCCATTTCTCCCCCACCCCGTCCCCGCTCTTTCTCCCTCTCCTTCGTCCTCTTGCCCCTTCCCTCTCCTCGTCTTTCGGTTGCTCTCCCTGGTGGTGGTGGTGTCGGTGCAGCTGAGGTGGCAGGCAGCAAGGTTGTCCCTGCGCTCCCAGACAGTGGCCAGCCAGAGCCCGAGCCACCTGACCTGGAAGGCGGAGCAAAGGCTGCGGGTAATAAACTTCTCCTCGGAGCAGAGACAGGCCAGGGCTGGCGTGTGGCCAGGGCTGGCGCGTGGGGCCTGTGGGGCAGAGCTGGGCTTGGGAGTCAGACCCCTGCCTGCAGGCACACAAGCGTACACACAGGCAATGTGTGTTCTCTCTCGGTTGCCTGGAAGTGGTGAGAGGTAGAACCTGGGCCTGCTGAAGGGAGAGTAGGTTCTGCGCCATCAGGTCTGACTTTCAGCTTTTAAGAAACCACTTGTCGAGAGCTGTACAGGCCCCTTTACAGGGCACCGGGGCGAAGCAGCCTGTGGTCAGCTGCAAGTGAAGCCTGGAAGCCTGGCCAGGTGCCCAGGCCCAGCTTCCTTAACCTGACATTCTGAACAGTCACTTCCCCACCCCAGCCACCACTCCAGTGTCCCTGTGGAAACATGCTTCACTGGCCTCCCGGTTTCTCAGTGCCTTACTGCCACTGGGGCTCCTCCAGGTCCTTCCTCCAGCCATCTCCGACCCCCTCTGAGGGCCTAGGATCTGCAGGATTGTGGAATAAATGGCAGCTGAGGCCAGAGGCGGTGGGGAAATCAGAGTTTACGGTGGGGCAGGTGAAAGAGGCTACCGCCTGCTCCTTTTTAAAGGGCTGAAACCAGCCCATTAGCTCTGTACCCCACCTCCCTGGTTCCCAGGTGAAGCACTGGACTGCCCCACCGCTACCTCCTAGCTCCCACCTCCTCCTCCTAGCTCCCACCCCCTCCTCCTACCTCCCACCCCTGTGCATCTTCCCAGGCTGAACAGCACTGCACCCAGGAGGCTCCCTAGAGGGGAAGGGCTTAGGAGACCAGTAGGCAGGCTAAGGCCGCTGTGCCTTGGGCCCCTCTGGCCCTGCTCTGTCAGTCTGCATGGGGAACACTGAGGGAGTGGAGAGTGACTGAGACTCTGTATTTGCCTCCTAATCTTCTTCTCTTGCTGTGGGGCACAGGGAACTGTTTTTATGTCAGCATGCCAGCAGGACCCCTGGACTCCAGCACCGACGCTTCAGGGGCACCCACCAGCCCCGCCCAGCCCGACAGCCTCCCTACCCAGCAGACAGAGCCTCAGACCCAGCTGCCTCAGCTGCAGAGAGGCAATGGAGATCAAAGACGCCCCAGCCGCTCTCCCCCAAACCTGGCCCTCAGGGACGTGGGCATGATCTTTCGGACCATCGAGCAGCTCACCTTCAAGCTCAACAGGCTCAAGGTGAGGGAAACGGGGTGGATCCCCAGAGGCCTCAGTCCATCGCCCAAGACCATTTCCTGTGAGCGAGACGTGTCTAGATCCTGTCCTGCCATATCCAGCCAGCCAGCCTCCATCACAGCCCCATCCCCAAGCCTAGCACAGGGGCCGTATGAATAGAACATCTGAGCGCAGACATCACCTCTCTTCCAGGACATGGAGCTGGCCCACAGAGAGCTGCTGAAGTCCCTTGGCGGAGAGTCATCTGGTGGCACAACACCTGTGGGCAGTTCCCACACCGAGGCGGCAAAGTGGACAGACAGCTCCTTCTCACCCGTAGCCAAGGAGCCCCTGCTCTCTGACTCCAGGGACAGCCATGAAGTAGGGCCATGCCCTGAGGACAGTGAGTAAGCTGTTCCCTCTTTGTTCTTACCCTGGGGGAGAAGTCCACAAGCTGGTAAGGAAATGTCACCAAGCAGCGTGAGGAGAGAAGGTGGTTCTGAGGGTCTCCCCCCTTGGTTATAACCAGGCCATTCCTGGACTTCAGAAAGGAATCTTTTTAAGAAGCCCCACAAAAGCTCACCTAAAAATGAGAAACTTAGAATTGGTCCCTCTTTTCCTTTGGGCTGTGGAGATAACACACCAGGCGAGCCTGGCCTCACATCCAAGACCTGTTCTT